CAAGATTTGATCAATGTAAACTGCTGTGACACCACTGCCTCTCCCTGGACCGATGTTCTGGAATACCACACGGCCGACCCTCTGTGCAAGACATATTCCACCCCACACCATGATGAACGGACCACCCCACGAGTCTCTCTTAACAACATAAACATCCGAATAGCGTTCCCCACCGCGTCACCAGACTCTCGCTGTCTGCCATCTGCTGTTCAGATACAGAAACGGCCCTCGTCTGAGAAGACTCTTCTCCACTGCTGGTGGCACCAATGCTGGAGCTGTGTTGCCCACTTAAGACGGTCCCGTCTGACGTGGTGTCAGAATGGGTTCTCGGTGTGGCCTGTGACAGTGGATGTGTCTGCTCGTCAATCGGCGACGCGCGGTGTCCGCGCTAATGTGTAGCTGGTATGTCCCCATGGACTGTCGAGCAGTTTCTGCGGCAGTAACAAAGCGATCTTAACAATGCCGTTGCACAATCTGACGATCCTAACGTCGGGTGGTGACCCTTGGTCTTCCATTATGTGGTCGGTCATCTGTAGTGTTGGAGGTCAGGTGTCGTTGCTGGAGCCTGTACATGGTCCTTACGTGGACTTGAAATGCATTGGCTACTTGCCAGGCGGTTTGTCCAGCTTGCAATCGTAATTTATAAGTTGGAGTTGGATCACTCGGGGTACAGTGGTTTTATGCGTTCCTTTTCATGTTTTATTTTCGTCGAGTGGTATCAAACCTAACGAGGGACGCATAAAGCCACATGTACCCCGAGTGATCCAACTCCAACTTCGTTTCCAGGGCGTGACTCATAAACCGTTCAATATTTCATGTATTCTTTATCATTATCTGTTCAGATATCTGTATCTTATATCTTATATCAGTTCTATAGGAACACTTTATGTAATGTGAAACTTCGTAAACACATCAGACATGTGCTGAACTGGCAAAAAGGTGTCGTTTGTTATTCGTTGGTTTTTTAAATTATTTTTTTCACTTTCCAAGGCAACACATTGGTCTTGCCCTTACAAACTTCAGGTATATTTGATTATGTGCACTCAGTCGAAATATCGGAGGTGTAGAAGTGCATACTAAATCATACATCGCACATTGTCTTCATCGATTTGCTAATTGGCCGATCCTTAGCCAGATCCATCCATCCTTCACTCACTCTAGAAAAAACTAATGATAAACAATTCACACATTACTAGGATATGATAACCACAGTATAGACGTATATGTATACATGTATATGTATACACGGTGATAACGACATGAATAATTTGAAGCGAGTGAGTGTATGAGTTTGGTTTCAGGTTGTGTATTTGCATATTCTCAGCTTTGTGTGATAGAAGAAAGCTTGAAGCGCTGCCGGTCATAGATTTTTCCAGATCGATCAGTTAAATCCTCGAACTTCGACAAATCAATAATTGTTAACACGACGAATTTGAGTTCAGAATTTGGTTACTGTTTGAGTTTTAGGGCGGTCTGGACTTTGAAAAGGTATACTTTGACTCAACACATCAAATGGTTTGAAACCAATAACTAAGCAAAACCACTGAACAAAAACGGCTAAAATAGTTTTAAGTCACTGCAAAACATATTATGAATATAACGCCCTTCTATTTTATATCATGTTTGCTCGATTCAGACACAACATGTATTATCGTCTGCTAAAATGATGCAATTACACATTGTGTGCTCTCTTTCTTACAACAATTCTATAATTTAGCCTGATTTCAACATGATCTAGGCAGTCAATCAAATAATGTGTCATTGCCATGGACATTGCAATGAGTGCAAACAGTGTCTCGGATCAAAGGCAGGAATCAAGAGTTACTTCGCCTTTGATCCTCCAACATTTTAAAGTTGAGTTGAGGTTAAATGGGATCTAACGTCGCGTTCAAGAGCATTGCACTTTTATGTCGACGTGTTTGTGTTTTTTTGTGTGTGTTTTTGTATGTGTGTGTGTGTGTTTTGTGTGTGTGTGTGTTTTGTGTGTGTGTGTTTTGTGTGTGTTGTGTGTGTGTGTGTGTGTGTGTGTGTGTGTGTGTGTGTGTGTGTGTGTGTGTGTGTGTGCTAGTCCGGACTAATGCCGATTTTATAGTATTAGCCCATTGAGATACCATGGGTCAATTTAACATCAATATCCCACTTAGACAGTTTACTGACTCCGGGCCGACTAGTTCTTGTTTTAGCCCTTTAATTCTGAGCGGCAGGCAGGATAACAACAAGTACCAACATTTTTATTAAAAAAGGTGATGTTCAGTCACAGGAAATGGATACCTTTTAATCAAATACTAGTATTAAGTTGATCAATATTTAAAAAAACCTTCAATTTATTTGGGGGTTTCTTCCACATTCTGTTAACCAGACAGAGAGAGAATTTGTTCTGAAAAATATTAAACCAAATTACTATTTAATTATCGTGGTATCCTTTTCGCCGATGGCACAATTTTCAAAAGGGATTCTGAAAAAATATACACTTAAGGAAAATAAAGTCCAGGAGATTTCAACCAATCAGTTTGCAATACACACTCTCATTCGGTTTACAATGTATCACGTATATGTATAAATGTATCATGTGTATTTGCTGTTTCAAGTCGTGTTTTCTTCATTTTAGGGGCCGATTTTTGTTTCTTCTGGAAAGAGAGCTGAGACCTTTTAATGGCACATTTCAAATTCAGCCTTTGGGAAGAATGTTAGAATGTTCTCACTGTTCACTTAAACATAATAACGGTACAGATGTAGGTGATTTGAAAACAGAACAATGATAATAGACGCATAATAAAGCATTTTATAACCATTTTGTACAACACCATGTGATGCAAAACCAAGTCGACTTGACATATTTGTACTTACATCTACTGGAGGAATGCATTTTTCAATTACTAATTATATGATGATGTCGATGATGGACATAAGTAGCATACATTTGATATAAACTGACCAAAAAACGAAACGTTAACACTAAACTGAAAGTTCAAACCTCCAATAGTTTTACAAAATGGTTGAGAATCAATCAAACTCCACCACAACAATTTCGCTGAGTAATGCACGTCCTACATGTACATTACCCAGATCAGTGGAATTTGAGTTTAAAGTGAAACTTTGCTGCACATGCAGCATATACCAGCCTACAAAGATATTGATATAAAAGGAATTATGTATTGTTCATTCAAACACAAATCGTTTGACAGTGACATATAACATGCTGAGAATACTGGTACTGAAATAACAAGCCATTGGTATGATACATCAAGAAGCAACGCATGACCACGTTGCAAGGAGTTTTTGCTTCAGATGAATGACAGTCACCAGGCTGCTGGTCTGTTATAGGCACACTGGGTGGACAGGAGGTAGGCGATACTTCATCATCAAAGTCGTTGGTGAGCCGGTGGCCTTGGCCATGCACCATGACAATACCACATAACGTTATTGAGCTTTTGTCCCCAAAAGCGTTATAAAAGCATTGAAAGTCCAAGTTCACAGTAAAATCTATTTCTCAGGTTTTGCCTACTATGAGTCAGAATTAGGACCCATCATCACAAAATAAAAACAGGTGACACCAGACCCATTAGACTCCCGTTTTATAGGCAAAACGCACCCATTATAAAAGAATGTTTCAGATAGGTGCAAAAAATGTTTGACGCCCACTAATGGCACTCTCCCATTGTCATGTTCTCGTAGATCACAGACGCCTCAATGCGGTTAAAAAAACCTATATTTTCCCCACTACCACCTTTTGAGTGTGTTTGGTTGTGCTTGTGACTTTTGGCAAATACCACTACATCCAGATGCAAAACAACAAGTGGGCCTAAATTACACACGATGATGTTTTTGGATAGAATCGCCTCCCTTTTGGCCTCAAAAATGCTCCTATGGCATTCATGCAAACAATTTAAGAGGCAATAATGAAATGAATTGGCGTTACATACTAAGTTTGGAGATGACATAATATTTCTTAAACGTTTTGGGAACATTAAAGTCACCTCAAGGCAGCATTCCAAAGGATCAAAGAAGCAGGACTCAAAGCAAATGTAAATTTGAGACAAAATAGGCACCTACTTAGGGCATATTTTCAGCCAAGCAGGCGATCCTTCAAAAAAAGATTCAGTCCCACAGATCCCACCCTCTAAAATGACATGTGTCATTTCTTAGATTTGGCCTCGTAAAATGACAAATTTTAGCAAACATTTCTGGCATTGCCTCCCCTCTATACAACCTCCTGAAAGAGACGTGTCTTTTAAATGGTCAAACAATTGCCAACAGGCATTCGATAAGCTAAGACAAGCCCTTACAACAGCCCCCATCCTTGTGTATCCCGACCAAAACGAACCCTTCTTCCTCACAACTGATGCATTTCAAACTGCAATGGGGTACATTTTAGGCCAACTTGATTCATATGGCGTAACTTGGAATGATGTTGTTAATTCATGTCTTGAAATGGAAGATTTGAAATGGTTATTAATAAATATGGGATACAGGTATTCTGTCTCTCATGGTCATATCTCTCTGTCAAAGATTATGGTTTTGCTCACGAAATATTCTGTATTGATGAGGATAGCCATTTTGGTGGTCGAGACTTTACATTGAGGCTGGGATATTTTTTTCAGGCAGATAGGGGGCTGAGATATTTATTTATACAAAAAAATTCCAAAAAACCTTACAAATCCAGTGACTGACATCATGAGCATCTGAAGACCTAGACTACCCCGGATCTTCACGGTTAAAGCGCTATGCTTGTTGTAAGAGGTGACAAACGGGATCGGGTGGTCGGGGTCGGTGACTTGGTTGATGCATGTCATCGTATCCCAATCGCATGGATCGAAGCGCATGATGTCAATCACTGGATTGTCTGGTCCAGATTCGATTATATACAGACCGCTGTCATATAGCTCGATTATTGCTGATTGCTGCATTAAACAACAAACAAAGCACACATCAGATTGCAACTCACACTCCCATATATTTTCTAATGTCAGCGAAAAAATATATAGGGCGAAATGATGAAATTCCCTTACTCCCATGTCTACCAGACAGGGAAAAATCATGATTTATTTACATTAAAGTATTCTGGAAACATTTTCATTTACGGATTGGCCGATAGTCATGGGATCCATCATATCAATCTTCCGAAGATGTATGACACAGGAACAACATTGAATACATGTATCTGCTACTGAAAATAGGGTGTTTCCTTGGAAGGATAGGTTTGCCCCTTATTAAAATTAAGTCTGTCATAAAAGCTTGGTAAAGGATATCCTGTCGGCAGCGACCCCGTCACATTTTGTGCCACGAGTGTCTTTAGGAGATGCTCTATGTTATCAAGTCTTTTGGGAACACCTGAAAGGTTTTTTTGCTGTTCCTCTAATTTGCGATGACGTTTTTTGTTTCGAGTTTGAAATTCGACCCATAAATCTTTTCCACCACAAAGTCGAGTTGATTCGTGGATGATGCGATCTGGATAAGAGAATGTTTTAGTATTATTCCAGGAGAGGTGAAAGAATCAGATTATACATTCATGAGCACTTGGTGTTATCACTATAATGTTTACAGTGAATTTGCCGTGTTCTAGAATTGTGAACTTCGATGTCGTTTGCTCCCTTTCTTGGTTAAGAGAAACAAAAATACATACCCCCATTAAACGGATTTTTGACATCAGTTATTAACCCTTATAAAGTAAATAACTATCAAATACGAACCTACGTCCTCATCCATGGTAGATTTAGTTTTGTTCATTTCGTTGACAAGCAGGTGTGCAAAGATGAGCTGCTTCTTGTTGTCAGATTTCAATTCTGTTGGCAGTTTGTAGTGGAGACAGAGTTTTTCAACTTGTTTCTTAGTCAGTTTCTTCCCCAGGTCAATCAGGATTTCTACAAGTTGTGGCTCGAGTTGAACTATCGCTCCTATCATAACGAAAGATTACATATTCATACGCTCATTCAATCATAAACAGTGAAAGTTGGCCAAATTGATATTACTGTAAGGCAAAAGAAGGACAGATTTACAAATGCAAGTATGATTTGCTCTCTATATGATATGGTTTTGTGAGCAACAGCAGTTATCGAAGTTATATCCCTGAAGGAAAGGTGAAAGTATTACAAAATAAAACTTACCCACTTCTACATTCAAATGAACCGTTTGCTGAGGTGGGGGAATAGGGGTAGTTTCTACACCTAAAGATCTCCCAACCATCTTATACATAAGTAACTCTCTCACGTTGGCATGTAGAGATTGGATCGCAATATTAGTTGACTCAATGACTGCATTTAATATACGAGCGTTACTCATCTCCTTCACCAGAGAATGCGCATCGATGACTTCTTTCAAAACATCGGACCTGCATAACCTCTTTGCTTTTTCCACAACATATTTGAAGTGTGTTTGGGCACTTCTCTCCCTGATGTCCCACGTACTTCCTCCAACGTGAGGCATGCATCTCTGCAGGAACATGTGTACCAAGTTCAGAGTGACCATTAGGGCACAGAACAGCCTTGTGTTCCCCCGCATTTGCCCATCCAAGTCTTCTTTACATTTGGTGACCTCATTTTCTTTACTGTCATACATGTCACGTAGATTTTCATTTACCATCTGTTCGTCATACAGACATTGTTTCAGTAGCTGTTCCTCTCTCAGCTTTTTATCCAGCTCAGACTCCAAGGTGGTAAGTTCACCCGTTCTATCAGCAGCTGTGTGAGGTTGTGCTGAAACTGTTCAAGTGTAATGAACCATGTATGCACTTATTACTGAACAATATCAGTCTAACTAGTGAAACAGCTTTATCCTGGTACCATGACTATTTGATAGTGATTCATAAACACATGTTCATGATACAGTCGGAACCGTACACCCGACTATGCTTTTAACAGATATTTGTTGTGGCTGTGGAAATTTAAAACAAGAGCTATAGAATATACAGTGTTATGAAAAGGTGACAATGTTCGGACCAATTGTTAGTCTTTGTTAGATCATACAATCGACTCTGCCTACAACATAGATATCTTGTGGCTATGGATATTAAAATCTAAAACTAAAACTAAAGAATATACAATGTTATTTAAGGTGACAATGTTCGGACCAATTGTCAGTCATAGAAGTTAGATCATACAATCGACTCTGCCTTCAACAGAGATACCTTGTGGCTATGGATATTAGAATCTAAAACTAAAGAATATTCAATGTTATTTAAGGTGACAAGGTTCGGACCAATTGTCAGTCATAAAAGTTAGATTACATATAGCCATCATATTTAATAATAACCTCATTGGTTGTCTCCAATCTTATTTCGATGACACTTACCAGAGCTTGTAGCTTTCACATTAATAGTTGTTGGGCCATATGTAATGCAGTCAACACCAAGTTCAGCCAACCATGAGCAGTCTTCAAGATCGTTCAGAAGATGCAGAGAATGTTCTGGAACCATCACAGTCAGGAGGATACTGTTGCTGGGCTGTATGCCTACAGGAAAAACGTGCGTCTGGGGCACGCCCACATACCTTGACACGATGTAGCATATCGTTTCAATGGTTATTCCTCTGAAGTTGTTGACATTTCCTTGAACGTGGAATTTGCAGGGAATATATCCATTTTCTGGAAAATACAGCAGATCTAGGTACTTTGTATCAATATAAATTATTATACTGCCAAATATATTAAATCAAAATAAGGACAAATGTGAAAGCTTTAAGATATCATAAGGACCTGTCAGAAACAAGAGTAGGCATTTCTTTTGCTCCTTGCAAAACAGGGTTACCTCCCTTCATTCGTGCAAGCTAACACAACTTATCCAGGTATATATGTATTTCGCTGTAAACTACACACACGTACACTCTGGGAGGCTTTGAATCAGATGTCTACGGATATATTTAAAGCTATTTTAATATTCCACAAGTTATCTCTATTTGCTTTTACGTTAGCTTCATCGCTCACTCTACTCCTGGTTGTCTTACCAGCAGTTTCTCGTGCGCATACCTGGGGTGTGACATTGATGCCATTTTGTTACAGGTATGTACCCTTATCTACTTGCTTTCTTTATTATAAGCTAGTCTGTAGATTAGGTAAGTAGAATCTAAATCATAAATGTCAACAATTGTGAATACCCTACTCGGTCAAAAGGCACGAGATTACTGATTCAAACACTAAGTTAAAGCACCATCCCGTAAGTAAGATTGTGAGAAAAAGGTATCTATCTTGTACATTTTTTTATTATTACATAAAATATCATTCAAATGTTAGTTTTTAATATTGTGACGTCACACCTAACGCGTGTCGTCAAAAGCATTCATTGTTACATTCAATGTATATAAAGTAATAGCGTTCTAATGTTATATATAGCTATTCTATTCAACGCAATTGTATTAAAAAATACTGTTTTAGGCAATATATTACTATATCATTGTTATATGCTATATACTTGTATTTTCTGTGACTTTCTGTCACGCCACAGCCTAGGGAAGACGTTCTTGCTCCCTCGACTGAACATCAATTGATATTGATGCCATTTATATCTTTTACAGATAATAAATCTTTTCAAACCATCTTTCAACCACCGCCTCAGTCCGCCTGATTATGTCGTCGGCAAAGATCCGCGACACAGATAAGAATATTTCTAAATGTCACTGTACCTTTAATATCAAATTATATCAGTATGTTGTGAAACCCGGGAGACCCTTAGGTCCCTTGTACCATATACATGTATCTACATATTTTACCTGTATATGAACTGTCAGCAAGGAAGAAGTGAATCGGTTTTTCATCACTGACTCTGGCGAATCTTGCAACATCTTCACACATGTCCTTTAAGCCAACACGCCACAGGAGACTCTGTAGAAATGCCAGATTGTAGCGAGTCACAAGTTTCTTGTCCATCAAATGACCAAAGAAACGTGCTGGCGAATCGAGTGTTCTGATGACATCAGCTGGACAGCCATGTTCACCTGAAAACGAACATTGCCAATATATCAGCGGTGCAGTAATATTTACTTAAGTCGACTGTGTCTTTGTATGTGACTCAACAAACATAATTAAATTGGCAATCATTACAAATATCAATATATATTTACAACGTGTGTATGAGTGTGAGTGTGCAGGCGCTTGTGACAATTCAACAATTCAACAAAATTACTTTCCCTAATAGAAAATACATTGTATAATAGACATACTAAACAACAAGATTAATGCCTGATAAAGTCTCACTCTGGACAATGGTTTTCATCCTTGCGAACTCCTCTTCTCCGATTCTGTCGTGGCTTGTAAGTTGGTCAATCAATCCTTTCAACTCGAAGTCATCAGATGGTTCAAAAAATACATTTCCTTCTGAAGATTCTCCTGTAATCTCTGCCATTAACATAGAACTATATGAGGTGAGGTGAGGTGAGGTGAGGTGAGGTGAAATTGAGTTTAACGTCGCGTCCAAGATTATTGTACATTTATGCACGTGTGTGTGTGTGTGGCTGCTTGTACTAGTCCGGACTGGTGCCGATTTATAGTGCTGGCTCACTGAGATACCATGCCGCAGTTTAACATGAATTCCCCATTCAGACACAGTATACTGACTCCGAGCCGACCAGTCCTTGTTTTAGCCCCTTAATACCGAGGGTCGGACAGGGTAACAACAAGTACCATCTTTAAACGTCTTTTGGTATGACGCGGCCGGGGATAGAACCCCGTACCTTCCGCTCTCCCGCTTATCCACAGATAAATACATATTTTTTTGTTGAAGATATTAATGCTTGCATATTGATTTAATAATAAGAAAATATCAATGTACGATAAATAGTATTAGTGTACGCAATACTAGGTGTATTAAGAAGTGTGCTCTGATACCAGGTACGATGCATGATGCTTGATCTAAACTTGACATCAACAAACATTAATGATATTTTAAAAACAATGATGAATTTTCTCAAATTAAATGTTTCTTTGTTATCGTTGCCGGGTGATGACAACATTCATGATCATGATATGTTATGTGTTATAGCTTACGCAGTCCAAAACTGATAAAGGTTATGTAAGTTCAATTGATACAAACCTTGATCCATCTCTGTTTCTTCTAGAACAGTCAACAAATGTGGTTGGTGTTCTTTCAAGATTTCACAAAATTTGTCGTACCCTCTATTCCCGGTAGTTTTTAGAATCGTCAGCAGCTCTTGATTCCGATCGTTGGGTGTGCCCTTTGAACGAACAACCTCACAATGAACATCGTTGAAAATACCTTCGCTGTACAGTGAATCTAAGACTTCTATTGTGTCGAGATCCTTCTTCAGTGTTTTGTGATTTTTCCGTAGCCTCCCTCGTTTGTCAGGATCCATTGTTTGTTCGATATGTAACAGATATTCCCCGAGCCTGAAATAATATCAGTGATATTACATAATTAAAACCTTCATGATTTGTTAATATGCCAATATATTTATAGATTACAGTAGATATATATATATACGTATATATTTATTGGAGTCTGGATATCGTGGAAGCTGTACCAAAATACTACGACCAATGTACATATTAATTGTGGCCGACAGTAAGCCTACATATCCACATACATACTGTTTAAAGTTCCTCCAACATGGCGGCCATCAGCTTACCTTGAGGAAGGTTGAGGTCAGCTAACATTTGAAAATACATAAAGTTAACAAATTACACATTAACCCAATGCTATTACAACTAAATTGATATTAAAGTTGTTCTGAATAATAAATTTCTTGTTTACGAATAGTAACCTTGTTAACGATCATTAACATCCGGTATTAATCGGTACTTTTCGTCCACTGCACTGTTCGTCATTCACACTACAGTATATGTATGGAAGGCAAGGTACGCCATTGCACTGGTTAATTCACAACAGTTATTTTTCAAAATAATCCTTTAAACTAAATTATCATTGTCATTATAATTCCCCATAAAATGCACATATTACCACTAATGTAATATATTATCCACATAGTAAGATAACGTGAATGTAAAGTCCAGTTATTTTATTTCGGTTACACCTCACATATTCAATCCGTAGATGAAATGTAATTTTGTCCGAACAGTTGTTCCCTACATACTGCAGTTGTCTGGTTTCGGTTTCCCAGTTCGTGGCCTTGTGCTGAGCGCGAATGTTATCAGCACTAACCGTCATTTCATACAGCCAGTGTGATTCTCGGAAAATTTATAGTTCATGACATGTTCTCGGAAAACATGCAGAACGCTGTATCATGATAAACGCACTACAGCGTTATCGTCTCACTTTATATATGTATGTACACTGAGGGCTTGAATGATGTAAGGCCGATCACCTTTTTGAGCAAGAGTCGTATGAAGTTCTTTGAAACCCGATCCTTGCTGTATTCATCCTCATATTTTTACTCTGAGCATGCGCCATGGAAGGCCATTTTATGGTGGTAACGTGTTCACATCATTGCCCTGATACGTCGTGTCGGAGTGTTCTAGATACTGTGCACTTCACAATAACGTAACTATTTTGCGGGAGAAGATAATGTGTTTGTGAAACACTCTGGGTTTTAACAACCTCTTCATTGATATGTTGCAATGAATCAAATGTTCCCCGCCGAAAAATGTCAAATACAGAAGAAAGAAATGTAAGCACACCAATGGGACGATATGAGTGGTTTATTAAAGCACAAACTGGTTGTAATTATACAATCTTTGTTGTACGATAGTTTGATCGATACGCTTGAGTAAGGTTAACTTGGTTTATGGTGTGATTTATTCCGGTTTACAGCTGAAGTATATTAAGAAGATGTTACAATGTTGAAACCAACATTATGAAGATTCCATGCAAGCTCATTTTTGTAGGAAAATAATGCTTCAATTGCGTGAATGAATTGCAAAATACAGACCAACCAAACATTTCCACATGGTATGAATCATACATAACATACAACTACTACTGTAGAAAACAAACAAACATGGAGTAGTTATTTTTTCAGAAAATGTATTGTTGACAAATGGCAGGAACAGAAATATATGGAAGGTAATATGAAAATACAAAAGTATGTCTTGGCACCAAGTAGTTATAACTGTCACGATGTCATCAGAATGTTTGGAATTAGTGACATTTTCATTTTGCATTTTGAAGTGCATGTAGACAGGTGACTGGGGGAGGAATGAGGATAGAAATGACATTTTTATCCTTGGAAATTTTTCCCTTTTGAGTGAGTTGATTGAAAGAAAGGAACTGATCATAAGAAATATATTTGAAGGAGGTGAGGTGAAATGGGGTTTAACGTCGCGTCCAAGATTCTTGCACTTATATAGCGACGTGCATGCACGTGTGTGTGTGGTTGCTTGTACTAGTCCGGACTAATACCCAATTTATAGTGCTAGCACACTGAGATACCATACCGCAGTTTAACATGAATACCCCATTCAGACACAGTATACTGACTCCGAGCCGACCAGTCCTTATTTTAACCCCTTAATGCCGAGCGCCAGACAGGGTAACAACAAGTACCATCTTTTAACGTCTTTTGGTATGACGCGGCCGGAGATCGAACCCCTTACCTTCCGCTCTCCGGGCGGACGCTCTAGCTCCAGACCACGGAGGCGGTTATATTTGAATGAGCATGTTAATAAGCAGTATATTGCACCGTGAGGAAGAATGTGAAATAAAATGTTAATATGCAACATATTCTTCACGTTGAACAGTATTTATGAACAGTATGACAAGTATTTCGTTGAATGAAGTATCAGGTATTATGCAAAGATTTTGGCACCAAGAAATGTACTATACAAGTACATATGTAATCAAGACATGCAACAATACTGTGCTGAAATATGGACACCGGGACAAATCTCCATCCATGTATGAAAAAAACCTTAGATACATAAATAAAGATAAATGGAAAATGTGTGTCCTTATTTAGCATCCCGTTCCGACTGAATACGTCTTTGAAATCTTGTCATTGTCATCGTGTCGTGAAATTATGTCACAAAGTCACACCATCTGTTGCAACAGCAGTGTGGAGAGGGAGAAGGCTTTAGTGGGAATCAGTGACAGGCTGGATTTCTCCCTTGTTGCCTGAATAACATACGATGCATTGCAAAGCAGCAAGGGAGATAATCAGTAACTCACCAAACCCTTGACAGCTTACAGCTTGAAAAAGATATACGTTTCAAGGGTAGTACGTGATGACGCAAAAACAATAGCTAACGGAGATAATCGGTCAATGCCAGATACTTTAGTCATACCAAATATCGACCGTGAATGTAGCGAAAATAGATAAATTTTCCCTAACCATTTTAAGTTTTTACAATAAAATTGCATTACGGAACATGTCTAAGTCACATTTTGAAACATGTCTTAGTAATGTGACAGACGATTGGTTAAAACACGTGCAGATTTGGGCCTCTCACTTTGTACCCATGTGGGGAATCGAACCCAGGCATTCGGCGTGACAAACGAACGCTTTAACCACAAGGCTACCCCGCCGGCTAAATAGGACCTGGCGGTTACAATGTGTGACAGGTTGTGTGGCCTATATAGGTCGTGAATTGTCAACCTCTGGTTTGCCTGGTAAGCCTGGTATACACACCACCACCACATACGCATATACACAAGATCACATACGCATATATACAACACCACATACGGATATATACAGCACAAGATTATACGCTTATATACAACACCACATACGCATATATACAACACCATATAGTAGTACGTATATATGCAACAAAACATACGTATATTATACAACATCACATAAACATATATACAGCACCACATTCGCGTATATACAACACCATACACGTATATATGCAACAAAACATACGTATATATACAACACTACATACGTATTTTTGGTAAAAGTCGAGTCAAAGATATTCATTGCATGTAAGCCTAATTGGCATCCGGCCCATATACAAGAGAGTTACAAATAAGTAGTTTACATATTTGGATGTGTACTCATGTTTAACAATTTGTTTCTGAGGGAAATTGCATTTTTAACATATATAGCCAGTTTTAATATGACAGCATCATCTTTTGAAGAAAGAAGAGAAATAAAAGCAGGTACAGGATAACTTGACAGATAGCGTTCATGGTATAAACTTTCTTCTTAGGTCACAATAATAAGGACAGACAAAAGTAAAATGAATTTCACTTTCTATAGCTGAATGACATAATGGGCACAGCCTGTTCGACTTTTCAGCGGCCATTTTTCTTCCTTCAATCCGAGCCTAAATTGAATAAATGGACGTCGAATGGTTCTTGATGTTAAGGTAGATAAGTATTCTTCTGTTATACCTTGAACTGTTTTCTAAAGTGGAATGCCATTCCTGATAAAACATATTTATAGATTGTTCACGAAAATGTTTCAAAAAGAGTTTTACATCACCAACTGTTTGGTTTAACCATACAAAGCCGTAGCCATGAGAAAACAAAAGCTTTCTTATATGGGATGCCCATGTTACTTTGCCCGGGCCATGTCGTCTAAATGTACAAACATATAATAAGCAAGTTTGGGGATTCGGCATTCATGCATTCCAAGAATATTAAACCAGTATTTGAAGCATCTAATTTGGGAGTTGATATATAACGGGTATCTGCCACACTCGCCATAGACCATACAATTGGGTGTTGATGGACCAACGGATAAGAAGTTTTTACAGGCTAAAAGATGTAGCTTTTCAAGACAATCGTATCGCTAAAATCCCCATACTTCTGATCCACATAACAGGACTGGTTGAATTTGGGCATCAAATAATTCAGAAAATATATTCTATGTAAAGTCTCCTACTTTCTGCGAGACAGACATTACATTGATTATGACCTTCTTTGCACGTGATGTTAAGACCGAGACACCTTTCTTGAAGTTCATTGTATGGGTAAACATTACACCAAGATATGTATAATGGCTCAGAACATTAACACATTTACCATCGAAAAGCCATCTTTCATTCAGTGACACCTGACCCCCTCTTCTGAAAATGACAATATGTGTTTTATCATGGTTATATTAACTTATAGTTTCCACTCTTTGGAGTAACATTCTAAAGTGTTAAGTTGTTTTGTAATCCAACAAAAGAATCGGATACTAAAATGACATCATTTTAAAAAAGAAGCATCAAAATGTCTATTACATTTGGGAACAATTGAATACCATGTTTACCCTAAGCCATAATTTCATAATATAATTCACTAATGAAAAAATGAGAACAATATCGGGCTCAAGATACATCCTAGTCGTAAGCCAACAGGACAGTCAAAGAAATCGGTTACATCGTTACCACATCGTACACACGATTTGATATTTGAATACATAGCTTTTAATACATGACATTTTCCCATGGATGCCAATAGTTCTTAAACAATACCATAGTTTATAACGATCAACGGAGTCAAAAGCTTTTTTAAAACCGACAAAGGCTACATACACTTTGTGTTTACGGCGTGATAGACATTTTTGGATTATTGCATATAATGTGAATATATGATCTGACATTTTTTTCTAAAACCAGGTTGAGTTTCGGAAATCTTATCTCGCATGTCAGCCCAATTCGTAACCCTGGAATTAAGCACTGATGTAAACATCTTTCCACGAATACTCATGAAGGATATTCCCCTATAATTGTCTGGGTTGTTAAACTCCTTTCTTGTGTATTGGAATAATTACCGAACAACACCAGCTTCTGGGGAATATACCGCTGT